ATACCCTCATACAGCATCTGTCGTAATACCTTGATACAGCATCTGTCACAATACCCTGATACAGCATCTATCATAATACCCTGATACAGCATCTTTCATAATACCCTGGTACAGCCATCTATCATAATACCCTGATACAGCATCTATCATAATACCCTGATACAGCATCTGTCACAATACCCTGATACAGCATCTGTCACAATACCCTGATACAACATCTAGCATAATACCCTCATACAGCATCTGTCACAATACCCTGATACAGCATCTGTCACAATACCCTGATACAGCATCTATCATAATACCCTGATACAGCATCTGTCACAATACCCTGATACAGCATCTATCATAATACCCTGATACAGCATCTGTCACAATACCCTGATACAGCCATCTATCATAATACCCTGATACAGCATCTATCATAATACCCTGATACAGCATCTATCATAATACCCTGGTACAGCATCCGTCATAATACCCTGATACAGCATCTATCATAATACCCTGATACAGCATCTATCATAATACCCTGATACAGCATCTGTCACAATAACCTGATACAACATCTATCATAATACCCTGATACAGCATCTGTCACAATACTCTCGGAATAGAATATACCAATATGCACTGATCCAGCCATTGTCATTAGTGAATGAGTTTAGTTTTACTCCGCTTTTAGCAATGTTCCAGCAACATCACGGCGGGGGACACCAGAAATGGGCTTCACACCGACCCATGTGGGGAATCGAACCAGGGTCTTCGGCGTCTAGCGAACGCTAGAATCATTTGGATACCCCACCGCTCCTCTCTGTCATATTGCACTGGCACAGTTAACCTATATCATAACACACTTGGTTCCGTTACAATACACTAACAAAGCCTCAGTAGCAGTAGCACAGGTTCTATCATAATTAACTGGCACAGACTCTGTCATAACACACAGGTACAGCCTCTGTCAGAACACATTGACACAGCCTCTGTCAGAACACATTGACACAGCCTCTGTCATAACACATTGGCACAGCCTCTGTCATAACACACAGGTACAGCCTTTGTCAGAACACATTGACACAGCCTCTGTCATAACACATTGACACAGCCTCTGTTATAACACATTGGCACAGAATCTGTCATAACACATTGACACAGCCTCTGTTATAACACATTGGCACAGCCTCTGTCATAACACACAGGTACAGCCTCTGTCATAACACATTGACACAACCTCTGTCATAACACACAGGTACAGCCTCTGTCATAACACATTGGCACAACCTCTTTCATAACACGTTCACACAGCCTCTGTCATAACACATAGGCACAACCACTGTCATAACACATAGGTACAGATTCTGTCATAACACATTGACACAGCCTCTGTCATAACACATTGACACAGCCTCTGTCATAACACACAGGTACAGCCTCTGTCATAACACACAGGTACAGCCTCTGTCATAACACATTGACACAGCCTCTGTCATAACACATTGGCACAGCCTATGTCATAACACATTGGCACAGCCTCTGTCATAACACATTGACACAGCCTCTGTCATAACACATTGGCACAGCCTATGTCATAACACACAGGTACAGCCTCTGTCATAACACATTGACACAGCCTCTGTCATAACACATTGACACAGCCTCTGTCATAACACATTGACACAGCCTCTGTCATAACACATTGACACAGCCTCTGTCATAACACATTGGCACATCATTATCACAAGACGCAGATGCAGCCTGTATCATAACGCATTGGCACTACCTCTTTCCCATTATACTGGCAGGGCAAATCATGTACACTGGCACAGCATCTTGGCACAAACGATATCAAAATACAGTGGTGCAACGTCTTCCTTGATACATTGTCACAGCCTCTATCATACTGCAGTGATGCAACCTTGATCACAATACACAACCACAGAAAGTTTTGGTTTACTTACAATAGAGGCATGGAAACGACTATATTAACTTGCCAAATTGCACCCATAAGTTCTGCCATTTTATAATTCAGCAGCGAATAACGTATTCCTTTCACAGGACATACTAAATGGACATATCGTTGTAGTCATTGCATTCTGTTACAGTCGGTAAACATTCTTGTGGTAGGACTATTTTTGGCAGTCTGAATATATTAACTTGCCAAATTGTACCCATAAGTTCTGCCATTTTATAATTCAGCAGCGAATAACGTATTCCTTTCACAGGACATACTAAATGGACATATCGTTGTAGTCATTGCATTCTGTTACAGTCGGTAAACATTCTTGTGGTAGGACTATTTTTGGTAGTCTGAATATATTAACTTGCCAAATTGCACCCATAAGTTCTGCCATTTTATAATTCAGCAGCGAATAACGTATTCCTTTCACAGGACATACTAAATGGACATATCGTTGTAGTCATTGCATTCTGTTACAGTCGGTAAACATTCTTGTGGTAGGACTATTTTTGGCAGTCTGAATATATTAACTTGCCAAATTGCACCCATAAGTTCTGCCATTTTATAATTCAGCAGCGAATAACGTATTCCTTTCACAGGACATACTAAATGGACATATCGTTGTAGTCATTGCATTCTGTTACAGTCGGTAAACATTCTTGTGGTAGGACTATTTTTGGCAGTCTGAATATATTAACTTGCCAAATTGCACCCATAAGTTCTGCCATTTTATAATTCAGCAGCGAATAACGTGTTCCTTTCACAGGACATACTAAATGGACATATCGTTGTAGTCATTGCATTCTGTTACAGTAGGTAAACATTCTTACGGTAGGACTATTTTTGGCAGTCTGAATAAATTAACTTGCCAAATTGCACCCATAAGTTCTGCCATTTTATAATTCAGCAGCGAATAACGTATTCCTTTCACAGGACATACTAAATGGACATATCGTTGTAGTCATTGCATTCTGTTACAGTCGGTAAACATTCTTGTAGTAGGACTATTTTTGGCAGTCTGAATATATTAACTTGCCAAATTGTACCCATAAGTTCTGCCATTTTATAATTCAGCAGCGAATAACGTATTCCTTTCACAGGACATACTAAATGGACATATCGTTGTAGTCATTGCATTCTGTTACAGTCGGTAAACATTCTTGTGGTAGGACTATTCTTGGCAGTCTGGTGGGTTTGCTGGTGTTCGTAGTTAGTCGCTACTCCAGCAGGCCCAACATTTCCCCATACATGAACATACGTTCTACCCTACAGAAAGAAAGTCCTTAGACTCACAAAACAAGTAAATACGCGAACAGTGTCCTGATATACTCTGTAATGGCTTGACTAGATCGGAGATGGGTCGTGACATTAATTCTGTAACTACACTCCTACTTATAGATTTACGCCCAAGTGAACACTAATCGTCTACATTAACTATAGGCCAAAACTCTGAGTTTCGCCCACACTAGTTAGAGATTAGCTACCATTAGCTACCATTAGAAAGTGAAAATTATTCGCCTACTTTAGCAATATATTAGAAAGACTCAAGGCAACATTATTCGCCTACTTTAGTAATACATGAGAAACTCTCAAGTCAATATTATTCGCCTCCTTTAGTAACACATATCGCCTACTTTAGTAATACATTAGAAACTCTCAAATCAACATAATTCGCCTCCTTTAGTAACACATATCGCCTACTTTAGTAATACATTAGAAACTCTCAAATCAACATAATTCGCCTCCATTAGTAATACGTTAGAAATTCACAAGTCAGCTCTTCATTGTTTACACAACAGGCCCTGTTATTTTATAATACAACAACTTCAAAATGACGCTACGCTATACGATATGAGTAAACCAACAACTGACTACGTTTATGACAGGATAGTGGCAGCAGGGGTACTGTCACCCAACGCTAAAGGCCGTGAATGGACCGCACAATAAGGAGTATATGTGTTGTGTGGAGTTACTTACTCTGTGGTGTGTATGAGATCCCTCCAGGAGGCCTGGTCCGGTGAGTCCTTCCTGTACAACACGAGAAGGAGGGAGTGAATCAGTGATGTGACGGACGAGTCACGCAGTCTAGGGTGGGGCGTCTTATCTCAGCGATAGGATCATCAACATGATTATTTCTCTCTATTTCCCCAAACTTTCTTATCAGCTAAAGCAGATCCCGCGACACTAACCCGTCCCACTGGAGCGTGGACCGTATACATACTTATTGTCCTTCATTTAGCTGCTTCAAAATAAATCTACCGTATATATACCTGTGTAACTATCCCTAGTCCATCCTACCATATTTCCACTAAAAGGCACCTCTCTCTCTCTCTCTCTCTCTCTCTCTCTCTCTCTCTCTCTCTCTCTCTCTCTCTCTCTCTCTCTCTCTCTCTCTCTCTGCCTGCTTTCACTCTATCCATCAAACAGCCTACTCCCAATAAATTTCCACCAGCCTGCCTTAACTCTCTCCATCAAGCAGCATACACCCATCAAAGTCACACCCTTACTTACTGCCTGAATTCACTGCCTACTCCAATCAAAGTTCCACCTGCCTGCCTTCACTCCTTCCATACAGCAGCCTACACCAATCAAAGCTCCACCTGCCTGCCTTCACTCCCTCCATACAGCAGCCTACACCCATCAAAGCTCCACCTGCCTGCCTTCACTCCCTCCATACAGCAGCCTACACCCATCAAAGGTCCACCTCCCTGCCTTCACTCCTTCCATACAGCAGCCTACTCCCATCAAAGCTCCACCTCCCTGCCTTCACTCCCTCCATACAGCAGCCTACACCCATCAAAGTTCCACCTCCCTGCCTTCACTCCTTCCATACAGCAGCCTACTCCCATCAAAGTTCCATCTCCCTGCCTTCACTCCCTCCATACAGCAGCCTACACCCATCAAAGTTCCACCTGCCTGCCTTCACTCCTTCCATATAGCAGCCTACTCCCTTCAAAGCTCCACCTGCCTGCCTTCACTCCTTCCATACAACAACCTACTCCCATCAAAGTTCCACCTCCCTGCTTTCACTCCCTCCTTACAGCAGCCTACACCCATCAACGTTCCACCTGCCTGCCTTCACTCCCTCCATACAACAGCTTACACCCATCAAAGCTCCACCTCCCTGCCTTCACTCCTTCCATACAGCAGCCTACACCAATCAAAGTTCGACCTGCCTGCCTTCACTCCCTCCATACAGCAGCCTACACCCATCAAAGTTCCACCTCCCTGCCTTCACTCCTTCCATACAGCAGCCTACACCAATCAAAGTTCGACCTGCCTGCCTTCACTCCCTCCATACAGCAGCCTACACCCATCAAAGCTCCACCTGCCTGACTTCACTCCCTCCATACTGCATCCTACACCCATCAAAGTTCCACCTGCCTGACTTCACTCCCTCCATACAGCAGCTTACTCCCATCAAAGCTCCACCTCCCTGCCTTCACTCCCTCCATACAGCAGCCTACTCCAATCAAAGTTCCACCTGCCTGCCTTCACTCCCTCCATACAGCAGCCTATACCCATCAAAGCTCCACCTGCCTGCCTTCACTCCCTCCATACAGCAGCCTACACCAATCAAAGCTCCACCTGCCTGCCTTCAATCCCTCCATACAGCAGCCTACACCCATCAAAGCTCCACCTGCCTGCCTTCACTCCCTCCATACAGCAGCCTACACCCATCAAAGGTCCACCTCCCTGCCTTCACTCCCTCCATACAGCAGCTTACTCCCATCAAAGCTCCACCTCCCTGCCTTCACTCCCTCCATACAGCAGCCTACACCCATCAAAGTTCCACCTCCCTGCCTTCACTCCTTCCATACAGCATCCTACTCCCATCAAAGTTCCATCTCCCTGCCTTCACTCCCTCCATACAGCAGCCTACACCCATCAAAGTTCCACCTGCCTGCCTTCACTCCTTCCATACAGCAGCCTACTCCCATCAAAGCTCCACCTGCCTGCCTTCACTCCTTCCATACAACAACCTACTCCCATCAAAGTTCCACCTCCCTGCTTTCACTCCCTCCTTACAGCAGCCAACACCCATCAACGTTCCACCTGCCTGCCTTTCACTCTCTTCCATACAGCAGCCTACTCCCATCAAAGCTCCACCTGCCTGCCTTCACTCCTTCCCTACAACAACCTTTCTCCCATCAAAGTTCCACCTCCCTGCTTTCACTCCTCCATACAGCAGCTTACTCCCATCAAAGCTCCACCTCCCTGCCTTCACTCCTCTCCATACAGCAGCCTACTCCAATCAGTTCCACCTGCCTGCCTTCACACCCTCCATACAGCAGCCTATACCCATCAAAGCTCCACCTGCCTGCCTTCACTCCCTCCATACAGCAGCCTACACCAATCAAAGCTCCACCTGCCTGCCTTCAATCCTCCATACAGCAGCCTACACCCATCAAAGTTCCACCTCCCTGCTTTCACTCCTCCTACAGCAGCCAACACCCATCAACGTTCCACCTGCCTGCTTTCACTCCTCCATACAACAGCTTACACCAATCAAAGCTCCACCTCCCTGCCTTCACTTCCTCCATACAGCAGCCTACACCCATCAAAGCTCCACCTGCCTGCCTTCACTCCCTCCATACAGCAGCCTACTCCAATCAAAGCTCCACCTTCCTGCCTTCACTAACTCCATACAGCAGCCTACACCCATCAAAGCTCCACCTGCCTGACTTCACTCCCTCCATACTGCATCCTACACCCATCAAAGTTCCACCTGCCTGACTTCACTCCTCCATACAGCAGCTTACTCCCATCAAAGCTCCACCTCCCTGCCTTCACTCCTCCATACAGCAGCCTACTCCAATCAAAGTTCCACCTGCCTGCCTTCACTCCCCTCCATACAGCAGCCTATACCCATCAAAGCTCCACCTGCCTGCCTTCACCCTCCATACAGCAGCCTACACCAATCAAAGCTCCACCTGCCTGCCTTCAACTCCTCCATACAGCAGCCTACTCCCATCAAAGCTCCACCTGCCTGCCTTCACTCCTCCATACAGCAGCCTACACCCCAAAGGTCCACCTCCTGCCTTCACTCCTCCATACAGCAGCCTACTCCCATCAAAGCTCCACCTCCCTGCCTTTCACTCCTCCATACAGCAGCCTACACCCATCAAAGTTCCACCTCCCTGCCTTCACTCCTTCCATACAGCATCCTACTCCCATCAAAGTTCCATCTCCCTGCCTTCACTCCCTCCATACAGCAGCCTACACCCATCAAAGTTCCACCTGCCTGCCTTCACTCCTTCCATACAGCAGCCTACTCCCATCAAAGCTCCACCTGCCTGCCTTCACTCCTTCCATACAACAACCTACTCCCATCAAAGTTCCACCTCCCTGCTTTCACTCCCTCCTTACAGCAGCCAACACCCATCAACGTTCCACCTGCCTGCCTTCACTCCTTCCATACAGCAGCCTACTCCCATCAAAGCTCCACCTGCCTGCCTTCACTCCTTCCATACAACAACCTACTCCCATCAAAGTTCCACCTCCCTGCTTTCACTCCCTCCATACAGCAGCTTACTCCCATCAAAGCTCCACCTCCCTGCCTTCACTCCCTCCATACAGCAGCCTACTCCAATCAAAGTTCCACCTGCCTGCCTTCACTCCCTCCATACAGCAGCCTATACCCATCAAAGCTCCACCTGCCTGCCTTCACTCCCTCCATACAGCAGCCTACACCAATCAAAGCTCCACCTGCCTGCCTTCAATCCCTCCATACAGCAGCCTACACCCATCAAAGTTCCACCTCCCTGCTTTCACTCCCTCCTTACAGCAGCCAACACCCATCAACGTTCCACCTGCCTGCCTTCACTCCCTCCATACAACAGCTTACACCAATCAAAGCTCCACCTCCCTGCCTTCACTTCCTCCATACAGCAGCCTACACCCATCAAAGCTCCACCTGCCTGCCTTCACTCCCTCCATACAGCAGCCTACTCCAATCAAAGCTCCACCTTCCTGCCTTCACTAACTCCATACAGCAGCCTACACCCATCAAAGTTCCACCTGCCTGCCTTCATTCCCTCCATACAGCAGCCTACAACCATCAAAGTTCCACCTGACTGCCTTCACTCCCTCCATACAGCAGCCTACACCCATCAAAGCTCCACCTGCCTGCCTTCACTCGCACCATACAGGAGCCTACACCAATCAAAGTTCCACCTGCCTGCCTTCACTCACTCCATACAACAGCCTACTCCCATCAAAGCTCCACCTGCCTGCCTTCACTCCTTCCATACAACAGCCTACTCCCATCAAAGTTCCACCTGCTTGCCTTCACTCGCACCATACAGCAGCCTACACCCATCAAAGTTCCACCTCCCTGCCTTCACTCCTTCCACACAGCATCCTACACCCATCAAAGTTCCACCTGCTTGCCTTCACTCCTTCCATACAGCAGCCTACACCAATCAAAGTTCGACCTGCCTGCCTTCACTCGCACCATACAGGAGCCTACACCCATCAAAGTTCCACCTGCCTGCCTTCACTCCCTCCATACAGCAGCCTACACCAATCAAAGTTCGACCTGCCTGCCTTCACTCCCTCCATACAGCAGCCTACACCCATCAAAGTTCCATCTCCCTGCCTTCACTCCTTCCATACAGCAGCCTACACCAATCAAAGTTCGACCTGCCTGCCTTCACTCGCACCATACAGGAGCCTACACCCATCAAAGTTCCACTTTCCTGCCTTCACTCTATCCATCAAGCAGCCTACTCCCATCAAGGTTCCACCTGTCTGCATTCACTCTGTCCATCAAGCTGCCCACCCCAATCAAAGTACCACCGCCCTGCCTTCACTCTTTCCACCAAGCGGCTTAATTACCCCATCAAAATCCCCACCCCTGCCTTCACTTTCTCCATCAAACAGCCATCTCCCATCAAAGTCCCACCCTTGCTGCCTGCCTTCACTCTATCCATCAAGCAGCTTACTCCGATGAAAGTACCCCCCTACCCCACCCCTGTCTTCACTCTCTCCATCAAGCAGCCTACTTCCATCAAAGTTCCACCTCCTGTCATCACTCTATTCTTCGAGCTGACTGCTTCCTCTTTCCATCGCCTGACGCGGATGCCTGTCATATCTCTGTGATCACAGGCTGTAGCATATACGAGTAAATGTGTGCACATATTGTCATATATCTCTTTGTACCTGTCTGCCATATACCTGTTTGTACCTGCTTATACCTGTCTGGCATATACCTGTTTGTACCTGCTTGACATATGAGTTTTTGTACCTGCTTGCCATATGCCTGTTTGTACCTGCTTGACATATACCTGTTTTTGCCTGTTTCCCATGTACCTGTTTGTACGTGCTTGCCACATACATGTTTGTACCTGATCGCAAAGTACATGCTTGTACCGGCTTTGTCATATACCTGTTTGTACATGTCTGTCATATACCTGTTGGTACCTGTTTGACATATACCTGTTTGTACCTGATTGCCATGTACCAGTTTTTATCTGCTTGTCATGTACCTGCTTGTACCTGTCTGGCATATACTTGTTTGTACCTGCTTGTCATATACCTGTTCGTACCTGTCTGCCACATACCTGTCTGTGCCTGCTTGTCATACATCTGTTTGTGTCTGTCATATATCTGTTTGTACCTGTCTGGCATATACCTGTTGCTTGCCATATACCTGTATGTACCTGTTTGTACCTTGATTGCCATGTACCTGCTTGCACCCGTCTGTCATATACCTGTTTGTACCTGCTTGTGATATGCCTGTTTGTACCTGCTTGTTTGTACCCGTGCCATATACCTGTTTGTACCTGTTTGTCACGCTTGTACCTGCTTGTGCTTGACACATGCCTTTTGTACCTGCTTGACATATATTTGTTTGTACCCGCTTGACATATGACTGTTTGTACCTGCTTTGACACCTTGACATATACTTGTTTGTACCTGCTTGACATATGTTGTTTGTACCTGCTTGACATATACCTGTTTGTACCTGCTTGTTATGTACCTGGTTGTACCTGCTTGCCACATGCATGTTTGTACCTGCTTGACATATACCTGTTTATACCTGTTTGTACCTGCTTGACATATACTTGTTTGTATATTTGCCTGTTTGTGTTTGACATATACCTGTCTGCCATCTACCTGTTTGTACCTGCTTGTTATGTATCTGGTCGTACCTGCTTGCCACATGCCTGTTTGTACCTGCTTGTTATGTACCTGGTTGTCTGCTTGCCACATGCCTCTTTGTACCTGCTTGACACACACCTGTGTTGTGCCATATACCCTGTACCTGACTGCCATATTTCTGTTTGTACCCGTCTGTCATGTAGCACCTGTCTGTCATGTAGCTGTTTGTGTATTTCATGTAGCTGTTTGTACTTGCTTGACATGTTCCTGATTGTATTCTGGATTGAAATAGCGGTAAGCACATTTGCTTGACATATATTTGGACATGTGCACATCTCCGTGCACACCTGCTTGAAAACATGTGTGCGAATCTCCTTAGCATAACTTTATACATACGCGTGTCATAGATGTGGATATAAATGTTTGTGTGTACTCTTGTGGCAGGTGTGTGTACTCGTCGAGCATATCTTGGTGAATACATCACTTTTATTCATGGTTGCAAAGATCAGACTGGCATATTGGTAAGCACGCCTGCTTGACATGCCTTTCCTTTGACACAACTCTTTACCATTCACTCGTTATCCACCCACATCTCTCTGACGACAGTCACACCTGACATATGCACCTTTAAGTTGCCTATTATGAAATACCCCTTGTTCCACCCACACACATATTTGTGAAATGGTTTTGAGGGAAAAGGTATTAGGCTTCCAAACGAACGGCACTAGTGTCAATCATTAAATTTGATGTTGCTATGAATGTATATTTTGATGAGGACGGAATTGATGGCGACTTTCATTTGGTTGCAGATGTTATTGATGACTATGCTGGAACGTATGCTAATGTTGAAGAAATCCTTTTCATCATCTTTTTCGAAAAACAGACAGTTCCACAAAGCCCGACGATGTGTGCGCTTGTGGCATGGAGACTACGGTATGGATCTGCTATCCAGCTTTGTGGTACGACACGTCACTTAGCCAGCCCACCCCTTGTTTCCTCGCCTAACCTTAATCTCTTGTTGTAGGCCTTTCACTGTCTATTGACATGTGTGATTGTTGTGTTAACGTGAGGACAAACCCCCACCCCACCCCTCCCCAAACACTCATATACATCCACTTCTGCCTACCTGCCCCTTCCATCCCTCCCCCAGTCTCCCCTCCCCTTCCCCGGTACACTGTGTCTCCTAAAGCCACTAACTAGCTATATCAGTGACAGGTGATAAATGCCTGGTCGTATTACTGCTATTGTTTATCTTTGGGGAAAATATGGAATAATATACTTCACATTGAAGGAGTGCTTTTGTTACTGAGTGGACCTGACAACTACAAAGAAATATTTGCCATATTTGCATGCGACTCTGGCGATATTTCCCCAGTGCTTCTCATTCTCTTTGTGGGCAGTATGACACGTCCATGCAATTGGCCAAAAATATTTAGTAGTCAGTTTTGTGTGTGAACTAAATGATGACAACAGCAGTGTTTGTACAGAACACTTGAAATAGCTAACTTTGGCAACAGGGGGAAATACGTTGGCATATTCTCTTCCTAGTATATGTTAAGTATATATGTAGATGTATCGGTAATTGTATTGACTGTATCCCTCTTTCTCACGGGGTTACGGCGTTTGAATATACTCAATGTAAGACTGACCAACTACTGTTAAAATGTTATGGATATGATTCCAGGTCCGGTTCAGAGATGTGTACAACTCCTGAAACTAAAGCTTATGTTACATGTGGTATCCTAAACATTACATAACGATACTACACACGTGTCTTGCAACATGGCATGATGATACAATAGACGTGTCTTGCAACATGGCATGGTGATACTAAAGACATGTCTTGCAACATGGTATGATGATACAATAGACGTGTCTTGTAACATGACATGATTATACTATAGACGTGTCTTGTAACATGACATGATGATACTATAGACGTGTCTTGTAACATGGCATGATGATACTATAGACGTGTCTTGTAACATGGCATGATGATACTGTAGACGTGTCTTGTAACATGACATGATGATACTATAGACGTGTTTTGTAACATGGCATGATGATACTATAGACGTGTTTTGTAACATGACATGATGATACTATAGACGTGTCTTGTAACATGGCGTGATGATACTATAGACGTGTTTTGTAACATGGCATGATGATACTGTAGACGTGTCTTGTAACATGGCATGATGGTACTATAGACGTGTTTTGTAACATGACATGGTGATACTGTAGACGTGTTTTGTAACATGACATGATGATACTATAGACGTGTTTTGTAACATGACATGGTGATACTATAGACGTGTTTTGTAACATGGCGTGATGATACTGTAGACGTGTCTTGTAACATGGCGTGATGATACTACACACGTGGATTCTAATATGGCGTAATGATACTATAGACGTGTCTTGTAACATGACGTGATGATACCAAGGACATGTCTTGTAGCATGGCATGATGATACTATAGATGTGTCTTGTAACATGGCATGATGATACTGTAGACGTGTCTTGTAACATGACATGATTATGCTATAGACGTGTATACTATGATGATACTGTAGACGTGTCTTGTAACATGACGAGATGATACTATAGACATGTCTTGTAGCATGGCATGATGATACATTAGACGTGTCTTGTACCATGACATGATGATACTATAGACGTGTTTTGTAACATGACATGATGATATTATAGACGTGTCTTGTAACATGACGTGATTATACTACACATGTGTCTTGTAACATGACGTAATGATATTATAGACGTGTCTTGCAACATGACATGATGATACTATAGACGTGTCTTGTAACATGACGTGATGGTACTATAGACATATCTTGTACCATGACATGATGATACTATAGACGTGTCTTGTAACATGGCATGATGATACTATAGACGTGTCTTGTAACATGCCATGATGATACTATAGACATGTCTTGTAACATGCCATGATGATACTATAGACATGTCTTGTACCATGACATGATGATACTATAGACGTGTTTTGTAGCATGACATGATGATATTATAGACGTGTCTTGTAACATGACGTGATTATACTACACACGTGTCTTGTAACATGACGTAATGATATAATAGACATGTCTTGTAACATGATATGATGATACTATAGACATGTCTTGTACCATGACATGATGATACTATAGACATGTCTTGTAACATGACATGATGATACTATAGACGTGCCTTGTAACATGACATGATGATACTTTAGATATGTCTTGAAACATGACATGATGGTGCTATAGACCTGTCTTGCAACATGGCATGATGATACAATAGACGTGTCTTGCAACATGGCATGGTGATACTAAAGTCATGTCTTGCAACATGGCATGATGATACAACAGACGTGTCTTGTAACATGACATGATTATACTATAGACGCGTCTTGTAACATGACATGATTATACTATAGCCGTGTCTTGTAACATGGCATGATGATACTATAGACGTGTCTTGTAACATTGCATGATGATACTGTAGACGTGTCTTGTAACATGACATGATGATACTATAGACGTGTCTTGTAACATGGCATGATGATACTGTAGACGTGTCTTGTAACATGGCGTGATGATACTACACACGTGGATTCTAATATGGCGTAATGATACTATAGACGTGTCTTGTAACATGACATGATGATACTAAAGACATGTCTTGTAACATGGCATGATGATACTGTAGACGTGTCTTGTAACATGACATGATTAGGCTATAGACGTGTATACTATGATGATACTGTAGACGTGTCTTGTAACATGACGTGATGATACTATAGACATGTCTTGTAGCATGGCATGATGATACTATAGACGCGTCTTGTACCATGACATGATGATACTATAGACGTGTTTTGTAACATGACATGATGATATTATAGACGTGTCTTGTAACATGACGTGATTATACTACACACGTGTATTGTAACATGACGTAATGATTTTATAGAC